GCCACATAACGCAACATATTCTAAATGCAGCAGAGAACAGTATACCCAAAACAACAACCAAGGGTAGGAAGAAAGTGGTGCCATGGTGGAATGAGGAATGCAGCAGGGCTATTAAAGAGCGAAACAATACATTTAGAGAATTAAAAAAAAACATGACACAAAATAATGTTATAGAGTTTCAAAGGAAAAGGGCAGCTGCTCGAAGGACAATAAAATATACAAAAAAAAGAACATGGAGAGAATTTTGTTCTACCATTGGCAGAGGAGTAAAATTAGGTGATGTCTGGTCCATGTTTAAGCGGATGAGTGGGAAAAGGAAATCCATTACAATTCCAGCTTTGGTTGATGGGGAGAGGCTGGCAGTGACAGATAAAGAGAAGGCAGATATGTTAGGAAGGACACTTGCAGCAGTACATAGCGGGGAACATCTCAGTGATATTCATAGGCAGCAAAAACAGCAGTTACTAGCAGAGAATGAAAACGTGAAGGAGAAGAGACAGGATAATATAGGTCAGCTCTTGATGTGGAATTTACAATGTCAGAACTCAAAATAGCCTTACAAGGTACAGGATATACAGCCCCAGGACAAGACCAGCTATGTTATGCTATGTTTAGACAGTTACCTATGGAAACTATGACAATGGTGCTGAGTCTTTCAATACAATCTGGAGAGAAGGAGATATGCCAAGTTTGTGGAAAACAGCAGTCGTGCTACCATTCAATAAGCCAGGGAAAGATACAGCTAACCCTAACTACAGACCAATAGCTCTTACATCACACATAGGTGTGATGTAAGAGCTTATCCATCTTTTTAAATGGATGGAAAAGATCATTGTCCGTAGGCTCTCACATGTACTGGAGCAGAAAGGGCTGCTGAGTAGTTTTCAGAGCGGATTTCGTAAAGGGCGGTCCACAATAGATGCTTTAGTAAGAGTGAGTAATGATGTGGAAAAAACATTGAAAATGAAAGAGATAATGGCAATAGTGTACTTTGACATTGAAAAGGTGTATGACTGTATGTGGAGGGATGGGTTACTGATCAAATTGAGTAGAATGGGTATTGGAGGGAGAATGTACAATTGGGTAAGGGCCTTTTTAACAGACAGGACATTTAGAGTAAAGGTTGGAGCAGATATTTCCAATTATTTAGAAATAGAAAATGGTATTCCCCAAGGGAGTGCAGTCAGTCCAATATTATTTAACATCATGATTAATGATATATTGCCATGCTTAGACACATGCATCCAATCGGCTCTATACGCAGATGATGGGGCTATTTGGATGAGGGGAAGAAATGCCCCATATGTAATGGAGAATATAGCTAGAGCGATTAAACAAGTGGAGAGGTGGTCATATAACTGGGGATTCAAAATGTCAGAAAGCAAGTCATGCTACATGGTAGTCACAAACAAACGCAAGATTGATGGCCAACAGCTAACACTATATGATCGTCCAATGACAGGTGAATGAGTTCAAATACCTAGGACTGTGGTTTGATAGCAAATATACATGAAAAATGCATATTAATCAAGTGGAAACAAAATGCAAAAAAGTATTAAATGTATTGCGAGCTGTAGCTGGATGCAACTGGGGCGCAGACAAACAAGCATTAATAGACATTTACAGATCAATTATGAGGTCCACAATAGATTATGGTTGTATAGTGTATGGAGCAGCAGCAAAAACATCGCTTTTAAAAATGGATAGAATACAATATAAAGCATTGCGGTTGTGTATTGGAGCGATAAAGTCATCCCCTATCAATGCAGTTCTGATAGAAGCAGGAGAGACACCTCTGGAGATCAGAAGAGAGACACTTGCTCTGTCATACTGGGTCAGGTTACAAGGAAGTGGAGAAGAAGATATTTCAAACAGAATATTACAGGATTGCTGGGAATATGCAAAATTCCAGGGACGTGGGTTTGGCTGGACAAGTAAGGAGAGAACGAGGGCATATGGAGTGGAGAATATCACGTTTGCCAAAGCAACCCCATTTAGTAGTGTTCCTCCATGGCTTTCCCCAGAAGCTAAAATAGATATGAGTATTGTAGAAAGGAAAAAAGAGAGGCAAATAAATGAAGTGGGAATTAAAACAAGTATGTATCTGAATGAAAAGTACTACAATTACCTACAAATGTACACAGATGGTTCTAAGAACAAGGAAGAGTGTGTTGGAGTTGGTATATACATCCCAGAATTTAAAATATCTATTTCAAAAAGAGCGTCTGATCAATTATCAGCGTACACAGCAGAAATGCTTGCTGTAATAATAGGATTACAGTGGGTTGAAGAGGTCAGACCAGATAGGGTGGTGATGTGCACTGATTCATTGTCCATATTACAAAGCATACAGTCAACAACAACTGCCAGAGAAGACATTCTCATAGAACTGAATCATAGCCTGTTAAGACTGCACAGAGGCGGCATAGATCTGCAGTTCTGCTGGGTGCCTGCACATGAGGGGGTGAAAGGGAACGAGTGTGCTGATAGATAGCAAAAAGTGCACTACAAAAGGAAATCACATTACCAGTTCAACTTGGAGAAGGAGAAGGAAATGCAGTGATTAAGAAGAAAGGGATGGAGATCTGGCAGAAAAGGTGGGAGAAAGACCAGAAAGGCAAAGACTATCACAAAGTATGAATGATACTCTATCATGGGGAAAAGTGACAGTGACAAGTGTGGGAACTGTGGAGTTAAAGAAGATGTAGAACATATCTTGTTACATTGTGACATCTATAAAGCGGAAAGAGAAAAACTAAAGGCTAAAGTTTTAGAGGCAGAGAGGGAATGGAGTTGGTGTTTTGGGAACAAAAGGAGAGGGAGTAAGAGCTACCAGAAAGGCACTGTTTACATTCTTGAGTGAAACTGGGGTAGGAAAAATCATTTAACATTACAGTAGGTCAGGAAAGAATATAGATTTTTATTTTTGTTTTATTTATTTCATGTTTTTTTGTTGGTTTATTTATTTATTTTTATTTATTTATTTTGATTAGATCATAGGTTAAAGAGTTGGTATGATATGATGATTCATACTCATGTACAGTAGGTGGCGGTATGCACCTTTTAAGTTGTTTGCAATCCGCCAAAAACGAAGAGAAGAAGAAGAAGCCCAGGAGGGGAAATTAGAGGAGAATCCTTCTGAGTGGGTGTTTCTCAATCGCGAGTAAAGCTGCTTCAGAGCCACTATTTCAAGCATACTACGTCATCGAGTGCCGCCGAAGTACTGTTCCAATCTCCAGCATACTTGGAAATCTACCGAGCCCGGCGTACTCCGTTTGGAGAAATATCGAGGCTGCACATGAGTAGACTCCGCGGTCTTAAAATCCCCACAATGCTTTGCGCACGGACCAATTTCCCCAAATCTGTGACGGAAAATGTAAGGCGGGGCCTCTCATATGACGCACACCTGCACACTTGCTAGCCTGTTCCACTCTTTGTTTTCCAAATGCCAGGAAGTATTCTTGCCTCGCTTCTGAAGCAAGATGCTCGGCAGACATGTGCTACCAAGCAAGCGTACTCGCGATTGAGAAACACCCTCAGATTCGCAAATCCTGACTCACTGTGCAAAACACAGCAGACTCGTGCGGACTCAGAGCCGTAGCCATATAGCAGCAGATCCAGAGATCCAGCAGACTCGTCGTCATGCACGAGTCAACAGCAGACTCAGATTTGCCAAATCGCAAAATAACCCTTTTTTTTGTGATCAACATTCTTTATTAAAGCAAAAGACACTGTGTAGCGGAGGTTAATATAACGTCAGTCAAAATGTAAGGCGGGGCCTCTCATATGACGCACACCTGCACACTTGCTAGCCTGTTCCACTCTTTGGGCCGTTCTCATTTCATCAAATTCCCCTCCTCGACTCCTATCCTCGTGTCTTTGTCCCGCCCACAGGAGATGCGAGCGGAGGGGAACCGAGGAGAGAGGAGGGGAAGCAGCAGGTGTTGAGAGAAATGAGAACTCCTCTCCTCTGAGCGGTCATTTTAAAGAGACGTCCATTAATGATGACAGGAGGCACAGCAGCCCTCTGTCTGATGGACAGATGTGTTCATGACCACTTATATATTTACTTTGAATTCATTCACAGTGCGGTATAATGAGACAATAACAGGCTACAGATGCGGGGACACACACACACACATTTATATATTTATATAAATATATACAATTTCAGAATCAAACAGAGCACTCTCATAATAACGTAACACTATCAGAGACTGGATATACCCCCCCCTCCCCTCTCTGGTCGCTACAATGAGGAAAATAAATTACAGGCCAAAAGTTTTATTTACAAGTATTAAAAGTAAGCAGAGGACACCAAACCAACTGAGACCTGTCTGTCCGCTGCATCTACGCACACACTGTACCACACACACCTACAGCTCCTAAAGCATAATCAGGCTACAGCCGTTGTGTATTTTATTATGTGAAGCACTAAATGGTTTTCGAAAAATATGGACTCTTTGTTTGAAGATATCTACTAAACTAAAGCAAATAAAGAAAGTAGGCCTGTTATACTGAGTGATATATATTATACACACTGCTCTGCTTTCTGCACGGATCTCACAGCTGTTCTCACTGTAAACATCGCGTCGCGATGAAAGCAGTTAATAAAATAATATCCAGGGGATGCATGCAGAGCTGTCATTGGCTGAGATCAGTCCGGCCGTGCATCACGACTCTTTTAAACATCACTGTTGCCGGAAATGCATCCACGAAGGAGCCGTGGAGGACCCATCAGTGTATCCTCGGTTATAGCTCCTCCAGAGAGCCTCCTCGACGCTCGATGCTCGGTCCTCGATGTGCATTTCTAGAAATGAGATGTCCTTCAACATGGCGCGCTAAAATTCATTTCCGGGTCACTACCGGAGGACCGAGGAGTCGAGGAGGGACATTTGATGAAATGAGAACGGGCCATAGTGTGACCCGGATATTAAATAAGGACCCGCCTCAATTCTTCGTCCTGACGAATCAGTGATCGTATTTACATCTCCTGGCCAATCAGCAGTTAGTAAATATTTCCGGCCGTAGAACCAGCGGTATTTTGTAGTGTACGATTTAATAACGTATGTTTAAGGCTTTTAACTTCAATAATGCCGTATGCTAACCAGCCGACGGTGAAAATCACAGAACTGACAGACGAAAATGTCAAATTTGTCATTGAAAACACAGATTTGGCGTGAGTATTCACTTCTTTGTCCATTCAAGGAGAGCGTGTGTGGCAGCCATTATTCCTCTCATCCAAACTGATGTTAGGAGACATTACCTTACATGTTAAATAACTTCTCTAAGTTAAAATGTTACAAAATAATGTGAGTTTAGATGTTAGAAGTAAAAGTGTTTTATAATAACTATCAAACAGGTCTGTTCCGTTAATTAACACAATGTCCCATTAAAGGGAAAAGCAAGTTGTCTTTTAATTTGGATACATTAGGGTTGAGAAAAGGGCAGCATTAATGAGGAGTTAAGTGTCATTTCTGTTACCTATTATAACCTCCGTTGTTCTACTTTTCAGGGTCGCAAACTCTATCCGCCGTGTCTTCATGTCCGAGGTTGCTACGATAGGTAAAGTGTACTCTGGAATTGTTGTTTTCATCGTGTAACTGGCGCCATGCACGTTTACATGACACTCATCATTAACTCACTGTGATTTGGGGATACCCGGATGTAAATATCCAACAGCCCCATTCAGGAAAGCACAGATGTTATTAGTACCTGTAGCCCCTCAGCACTCAGTACTTTATTATGCTTAAGTTAATGTTAGATGTTAACTCACTTTGGACTGGAATGCTGGGGGGGCTTGATTCCTTTTTTTCTAGGCAACTACCTTAATATAAACACAGACACTTTTGGTTTGTATTGTATTCTTCTTGCACTATTTATGATTTTATTTATATAAATGTCTTAAGTATACTGTATTTCACAATGCTGAAGGAGCCTGGGACTTCAGATTTTCATTGCAAACACCTACGCTGTAGCTTTTGTACATATGGCAATAAATCCTTTGATCATTTGAAAATGAGGGTTTGTCCTGTTAAGGGTGAATAATGATACCCTGCTACTAAATAGAGAAGCTAGCAAACAAAACCCCAGATCTATACCATATGATCTTTTTAAATAATTGACCCAGACATGTATTTTGAATTTAAGAATAATAGTTTATTGACTGTTTTGCCAATTCTCAAATAATATTTACTGTTTTTAAGTTAATAAAAGCATAGAATATATTAATATATATATCCCTTTGAAATATGGAAAATGTACATCAAAAATAATACACAAAATGACTGCTACTAAAAATAGCAGATTCATTAATGAAGACAAACTGCACAATATCATTTACAAAAATCAAAATATTATTTAAAGACACCACTTCCTCAGAGTTATTGGGTAACATCTCTAATTAATCTTTAACCTACTACTTACTTTAACTAGCGTACTCATAATACACACCGTACCCTTTGTAGTGGGCCCACACACAAATGAAAAAGTGTGCACGTCTGGGAGATGCTCTGTAGCAGTGTGGCCGAAAAGTCCTCAAAAACACATCACTGGCATGGCTTACTTTGGCACTTACTGGAACTAACCCAATGTTATTTTTCTACTGTGACATGTATATGTATTTTTCTGTGGAAACGCACGTAAAGGGGGGCTCTGCCCAGCCTCCTGTCATATATTCTTATACCTGTGCAGCACCTGAGCAGAGGTGGGAGAAGTACTTAGATCATGTACTTCAGTAAAAGTAGAAGTACCAGAGTGTAGGAATACTCTGTTACAGTAAAAGTCCTGCAATTAAAATGTTACTCAAGTAAAAGTACAAAAGTATTATCATCGAAATCTACTTAAAGTACCAAAAGTAAAAGTAGTCATTGTGCAGATTGGTCCATTTCAGAATAATATATATGATATGTTTTATAATGATTGATCATTAAAGTGTTCTCAAAGCTGGTAAAGGTGCAGCTAGTTTGAATGACTTTGTATACTGCAGGGTAGCTTGTGGATTTACTCCAGGTGGAACTAAAGTCTGATTTAACACTTGATTATATTTCACATCATTCATCCACATCTGTGAAGTAACTAAAGGTATTAAATATATGTAGTGGAGTAAAAGTACACCATTTACCTCTGAACTGTAGTGGAGTAGAACAACGTAGCAAAACATGTAATTACTCAAGTAGAGTACAAGTACCTCAAAATTGTACTTAAATACAGTACTTGAGTAAATGTACTTAGTTACTTTACACCAGTACCCTGAGGTCATCACCTACATGAACCATACAGTATTCTGCTTATGCCCTGAAGCAGATTATCTGAAGTGCCATAGAAAAAAGGGACATTTATGAGAAGGAATAGTTATTGGTGTGACTGCATCATTGGAAAATGTAATATCCACATGTGATATGCCTCAGATAAATGTCTAATTAACTTAAACTTGTATCCCTTTTTTTGCAGCGATTGACTGGATCCAGATTGATGCTAATTCATCAGTACTGCACGACGAGTTCATCGCACACAGAGTGGGTATGTGTCACAGTGTGCAGTATTCTCCTCTAATGCTACTTGTAATAAGATGTGTTGTTGTAGTGCGACCAGAGCGTGAAAAGCCTGCTGTTCAACATGAATGTTTCCTCTGCTCTCAGGTCTGATTCCTCTCACAAGTGATGACATCGTTGAGAAAATGCAGTATTCCAGGGTAAGTATACTGAATACTATAACTGAAACGCTGACTTTAATTAAGTGTATTATTTCAACACATTTCACTTAACTGTATTAGGTTAGTTGAAAACAGTATGAAGTTGAATCTAATATTTTTTTATTTAAACTTAATATAATTTCTTTCAACTAAACTGATACAGTTATGTGAAATCTGTTGACATAATACATTTAATTAAAGTCAAAGTTTCAGTTTTTTCAGTGTACTGCTGTATCAATGAGGGGGGTCCCGTCACCCTTAAATGTAAAACCATTATTACAATCAATTGTTCCACGCTCTAAACTCAACTCATATTTAGCAGGAAGTGTTCAGGGCTGAGGACCGATCATCCTCAGCTCCTTCTAATGTTCAGCTAATACAGTGGTTCCCAACCTAGGGGGGTTCCCAACCTAGGGCGGGGCGCAGCGCTATTGCAACGTGATGCTTGGGAAGAAGTTGTAAACAAACATTGTTTGCTCGTAAAATCTATAAAATTGACACGTTTTTAACACAACCGGCAGTTAAAAGAAAAGTGGACGAGCCCACGAGAAGCCTTTCAGCTATAATGCCCAAATCAACAAAGTATGATGAGGCATACATCTTGCTTGACATCTAACGTGGTCGGTGGGGAGCTCTCTCTCTCTCTCTCTCTCTCTCTCTCTCTCTCTCTCTCTCTCTCTCTCTCTCTCTCGTCTCTCTCTCTCCATCTCTCGTCTCTCTCTCTCATCGTCCTCTCTCCTCTCTCTCTCTCTCTCTCTCTCTCTCTCTCTCTCTCTCTCTCTCTCTCTCTCTCTCTCTCTCACACTCACACACAGAGAGAGACTCGCTGCAGCGCCGTGCACACAGAGAGCTGCCGGTGGAGAACAGAGCTTTCAAAAGTGACACTCTACAGTGCTCGATGTGGTCTGCTCGTTTGCCATAAGTATTTTCGCATAAACACGGAAACACGAGCAATCTGTCCATCAGCTGGCCAAAAGGCATCATATTAATACGGAGAAATGCACCGTTTTCGACTTCCTTAACTCGGAGTTCTGTTGCCGCAATTACGTGTGAGGTGGGAGAAATACTCAGAACAAGTACTTAAAGGTGGGGTAGGTAAGTTTGAGAAACCGGCTCGAGATATACTTTTTGTTATATTCCATGGAATGCTCTTAACATCCCGATAGCAATGAATATCTGAAGTGCTTTGACAAAAAATCCATAAAAAAATGTCATCTGTGGAAGCTGTAATACTGTAAAAAGCACGACCAATCATCTGAGCCGGCCCGGCTAAAATAACTGGATGGCCTACCTGCCTGTCAGCCTTCCATCTGTGCACAAACTTATCTCGTGCCCTCATTGGTCATGTGCGCGGTCGTGTGTGTTGGAGGAGGGGCTCTGTAAGGAAGTGGCAGATTTTCTCCGGTTGTGTATTTTCAAATTCTAGCGATCTCGAGCTGGTTTCTCCAAAATGACCTACCCCACCTTTAAGTAAAAGTAGTATACTGCAGGGTAGCTTGTGAATTTACTCCAGGTGGAACTAATGTCTGATTTAAGACTTGATTATATTTCACATCATTCATCCACATCTGTAAAGTAACTAGAGGTATTAAATACATGTAGTGGAGTAAAAGTACACCATTCACCTCTGAACTGTAGTGGAGCAGAATTACAAAGAAGAATAAGTGGAAATACCTCAAAATAAGTACAGTACTTGAGTAAATCTACTTAGTTACTACCACCACTGCAGGTATGTCATGTGTGCTAGCAGCCCATAATCCACACTATACATAAAATAAATCAATGTTAATTCTGTTTCCAATTTGTTTAGTTTTTCCCTTAAAAAATAACAAAAAGAACCTATAAAAATAATGTTAAAGGACCAGATTGATTGTTTCAATTAGGCCTCATTATTTCACAGTGGCACAGGATCATCTGGCAATACAAGCACTTTTGTTTTGTTGTTCAATCCATAATAAAATATAAAATTCTATTTGGATCTTCTCTTGTTATTATTAGCAGAGAAAATGTAATGTTTGTACAACTATATACAATTAATTCTACCAATCTCAGTGGGAACCGGGTTGGGGGGGCTCGAAAATATTTCCAATCACCCAAGGGGGGCCTGACTGAAAAAGGTTGGGAACCACTGAGCTAATAAATTCTCAGTGTTAGTACACACACTGGCTTTTAACATCTTGTTGTCTGTCTATAGTTTCACTTCTGAATGTTTCCTATTTTACCACTTCCATTTTATAGTTTGATAAACATCTTTATTCAAAAGAGCCCTGAAAACTTATCCAAGTTCAGTATTTAGTAGTATTTAGTAGGGCTATTAAATTAATCGTATTTTAATCGCAATTACGATTTTGGCTTGCAACGATTATGAAAACAACATAATCGGAATAAAACTATTTTTTTATTTATTTATTTGTATTTTGTATTGGTTTTTCAGTTGAATTATACTTAAAGTTAAATCAACTGTTAAAAACATACTGTTCAAATTGTTTTGTTTTTTCAATAAATGGATGTTTTCAAAGTAAATGGATAATCGTTTTTAATAATCGTGATATCAATTATTGACCCAAATAATCGAGATTATCATTTTTGCCATAATCGAGCAGCCCTAGTATTTAGTAAAGAGAAAGTGCAGACAAAAGGCAAAAACATGATAAGTAGGGTAGTAGAGTAACACATTTATTGTCCTGGTAGTGTTTGTTACGTTGTTTCCTGGAGGACAGACATGATTTCCTCTCTGGTCCTCCTGCAGGACTGCACCTGTGATGATTTCTGTCCCGAGTGCTCTGTGGAGTTGACAATGGATGTCCGATGCACTGAAGACCAGACGCGTCATGTCACCTCACGAGACCTTTTGTCCAATAATCCCAGAGTGATCCCGGTGAGTTCTTTCTACGGTTATTGAAGTCATTAGAGGAAAGGGAATCGGAAGAGAATCTGACTGTAATTTTATTGGGCTTTCCAGGTGACTTCCAGGAGTCGAGACAATGATCCCAATGACTATGTGGAACAAGATGGTAAGAGAGGATCTTGTCTATAGGCATGTTATTGTCAGACGTCTGTTTTACCATCATTTTATCCGACATTTAAAAAGAATTCCTGACTCTGCCCTTCTATCTGACACAATATAGACATTATACTGGTGAAGCTCCGTAAAGGTCAGGAGGTGCGGCTCAGGGCGTACGCAAAGAAAGGCTTCGGTAAGGAGCACGCCAAGTGGAACCCCACAGCGGGGGTGTCCTTCGAGTACGACCCCGACAACTCACTGAGGCACACAGTGTTCCCCCGGCCTGAGGAGTGGTATGAGATTTAGTAAATTTAGTCAAGTTCAAGTTAAATGTATCAACTTAAACAATGACTGGATGATGAATTGACGCATGTATCACTCTGATTCTCAGGCCAAAGAGTGAATACTCAGAGATTGAGGAGGATGAGGTGCAGGCTCCCTATGACCCCAATGGGAAGCCAGAGAGGTGAGGAAAGAATGTTTCACACATGTATGTGTGATTTGTAGATATGTTGGCCAATGGGAAATGCATGCAGCTCTATGAATAAAAAAAACAAGATAGCACTTTGAAATTCATTGCTCTATTTCAATAAATGCTGTTATAATGGAGTGGTGCAGTGATGACTTAGTTTTGTAGCTTGATTTGAAAGTTAGCATCCCAAGTGCTCCTTCATCAGAAAAAAAAAATACATGATTTTTCCGTTGGATGAATATTATTTATATATTATTATTATGTTATTTTTATGTCAGAAAACAAAGCATGAATATCTCTTTAGCTTTTGTTTACTACAGACCTTATTTCAGGCTTCTAACTCAAAACACATTCAATAAACACTGACTTGGACACAAGGGAACCGAAGTGGTAAAATGCTAACTCAGTTTCAGGTTTTTAGGACTCCCCTGCACCACTCTATCTGATACCAAATAATATGTTTTTGTCAAAATATATTTTGTTACACAAATATTTATCTGCTTTGAATTAGTGTATGATCTGTTAAAATAAAAAATATATATTGCGTATGTCTAAAGTGCTCTCGGGATATTCCCCCTCAGATTCTTCTACAACGTGGAGTCGTGCGGCTCTCTGCGGCCGGAGACCATCGTCATGTCGGCGCTGGCTGTCCTGAAGAAGAAGCTGAGCGATCTGCAGACTCAGCTGAGCCACGAGATCCAGAGTGACGTGCTCACCATCAACTGAGGGCCCCCTGAGGGCCCCTCCCTCACAGAGAAGACCTGCATTCACACAGCTATATAATAAACGGAGGGCGGATTCAGTGCTGTTCAGGTCACATGTTCTTGGATCTGTATGTTATCAAGGAATATGAGGACATGTATTCCTGAAAGCAGAGATTGGAGCTTCTTCTGTCAAAGCATCCGATGCATGGTCCGTGTCTGTCAGGGAGTTTGTGTCACAATGATACAAATGTGATTTTGTTGTTGACAGTGTTACACTGTCCGATTATGATTTTGATAAATGTTATGTTATGGTGTACTAATTGTTGCTTTATTGTACGTTTTTTTTGTTTTTCACAAATGCAAATGTTCAAACACCTGGATAATCGAAAAACAATCCTATAAGCTTCTTAACAAGAGAAAAACGATACGTTTAATGTTAAACCGTTTGCAAAAGAAAAAATTACATTTATTCTTTGGACATTAATTGTATTTTCAAATGTTATTGTGCTGTATAGTCTGGTCGATTGAGGATCTAAACAAAAGAAAAATAGCCAGCCATAAAAATTATGTCTTTATGCTTATTACCATCCTATCAAAGCTGTATAGTGACTTTTGGGTTCATGGAAGCTGGGACTGCACTTTGTTGGTAACTTCCAAGGTATATAAATCTCTTCTAATTTTTGTCAAATGGCAACTATGGCAAGAGTAATAGTGAAGGAGGGATAAGCTATAGAACCAATTTATGTTGAGTTGTGAAGTAAGCTTAAAGAAATGCCATGAAGAGATAAATGTTAACATAGGCGCCATTATTAGCTGTAGATGTTTTGTTATGTTGGGAAAGAGTACATTAGCCCTTCACATAGACCCAATGGGATTTGATAAATTGCTGGTTTTATTTAAAGTTACAGCATTATGTCATTTAGGTTGAGTGCACTCGAAGAGCACCTTAAGCACACATTTATGCCGTAACACTGCATGTACCAAACCCCACACCACCACAGACAGAAGGTAAATAAATAAAGACACATTTTAGAAATAAATGTTAACCTGCATATTTTTTTATTTCCATTATGCTTTGTGTGAACTTTTAACTGTACTAAAGATGAGCGTAACACATGCGTACTTCCGGGCAAAAATGACGGTTCCGCCCACTTTTGGAGGAAAACAACGCTGTCATTAGCTGTAGTAGTACTGCATTTTCTTACCAGACTTAATAACCAGATTTATCTTATATCTTATTAATGTTTTAGGAAAATGTTGGTACATTTAACAGCATATATAACATGAGTCATATTTAAAAAAAAATTCATTATACTTATTTTTTCTGTGGCAATTGCAATTGCATGAATATAACTTTATTTGAATATTTTTTTGTCATGTAACCGACTTTATAGGTAAGACAACAGTTTATTCATTTGTATTTCATTTCAGTCGTCGCTTACCTTTCCATGGACGCCGGGTGGCGCTGTGTCATCATTTCGCTTGTATTTTGTTCCAGTAGCACTTCCGGGTTCTAATGTTTACAACTGGCAGCAGCGTTGGGATCACAGAGCTGTGTTCCTGGCTCATGAAAATCATATCTATGTTCCAACAACATGTTCTGGAAGTGCTAGGATTTACAGAGTGTGACGGTAGGCTTTAACGCATCACTACAGTAGTCATAACGATGTAACATCTGAACACGAGCTAACACGTAGCATGCTCATTCAGGATGCTCAGGCTAACAGCTAGCACTAGCTTGTTGACAGTAACAGTCAATAGAGATGTGTCGTGTTGTCAGAGTGAGAATATTCTGGACGTTCTGTCCATAAGAACCCGGACCCATTTCTACTTTTGGGAAAATTAAGGGGAACATAATTTAGACTAAATAGACCACTTAGAACACATTTCTGACAAGAAACCCCCCCTAGTGTCAAATATCTGAAATGTGACATATGTCACATTGGGCTTTAATGGTAAAATAACTCTTATTTTTAACTTAATTAATGAGGAAGATTTTTTGGTTTAAATTAGTTTGAACATTCTTTGAATTGAAGAATAAGAACATATTAACTCAATATAATTGAATCAGCTCAATTAAAGGTGGGGTAGGTAATTTTGGAGAAACCAGCTCGAGTGTGCTAGAATTTGAAAATACACAGCCGGAAAAAATCTCCCACTTCCTTACAGAGCCCCTCCTCCAACACACACGAACGCGCACATGACCAATGAGGGCACGAGATAAGTTTGTGCACAGATGGAAGGCTGACAGGCAGGTAGGCCATCCAGTTATTTTAGGCGGGCCGGCTCAAATGATTGGTCGTGCTTTTTACAGTATTACGGCTTCCACAGATTACATTTTTTTATGGATTTTTTGTCAAAGCACTTAAGATATTCATTGCTATCGGGATGTTAAGAGCATTCCATGGAATATAACAAAAAGTGTATCTCGAGCCGGTTTCTAAAACGTACCTACCCCACCTTTAACTGAGCAGATCATAATAATATTTCTAATTGTGCATTTATGTCACTTTGGGTTTACTGTGAAAGTTTAGGGTTAAAGTCCCGATGTGACACCAATGTCACAGCGATATTTATCTCATTTGTTTCATATCAATTTGATCAATAAATGTTTCCACAACAGGTTAAATGTAATAAAGGACATGTTATTTAAGCATTTTAATTCTTAAATGGCTTGAATTTGACCTTTAGCAACAAACAAAAAAGCTTTTGAAATGTAGCTCGTTATGTCACATGTGTTAGTCTGGCACTTGGACATGTTGTTATGGGAACACAAAATCAAATGTCCTGGACCAGGACCCACCAGACAGTGTGTGTCACTTAGGGACATCATGAGATAAAATAAAGGCTAAAGCTGTATAAGGAACTTTCCAGAACATTTAAAGTTCATGTGACACCCGTGTCACGGTGGGTCCTTATGGGTTAAGATACATGATGGACATTTTATTTTTATTTGATCATAATATATTTAGCTTATTTGCAACACTGTTCTTGAATGTAGCTCCAACCACTTATTGTGTTTTATTATATATTAATGAAACTAATGGATATTATGCTAAATATGATCAGCAGAAAATAGTGGGGCAGCAAAGAAAGCTAGAGAATGCAATTCCTAAAGAAATTGCTAGTGGGAATGCTTTATGCTGAAAAGCTGACGCTGAATTGCTATGCTGAAATGTAATGTGTAAGAAGAAAGTGAAGAATTTAGATTGAAATGATACATGAACACTGGGGGCTTGAATGTGTGATGAGAGAAGAAAAGAAAGTAAAAAGGCTTGGAAAAGCAGCAGAATATTTGAACTGCAAACTTTTGAACTAACTTGATGGCGAATGATCTGTCGCCATGCCAACGGCATTTGATGACATCCCATAATACGCTTAGATGCGTTGATGGCTGCATCGTTACCAAACCTGTGAATTTTTGGGCCGTTTGGAGCATTTTCACTGAAGTTATGAGAAAACCGTGTTTCATGGCAAGCATTGTGTTGCCATGGCAACGGCATTTGAAGAAATCTCAAAACTGTCCCGTAGATGTCTTCACGGCTGGACTGTTAGCACACGTGAAGTTTGAGCACTTTTTGACCATTTTCATAGGAGTTATAGCAATATCGTGTTTTATTGCGAGGGATGTGTTGCCATGGCAACAGCTTTTGAGGAAAACTCACTATTGGCACATAGACATGTTGAGGGCTGGACTATTAACCATTATCTGAAGTCTGGTGCTGTTTTGACCCTTTTCATAGGCGTTACGACAACATAGTGTTTTTTGGCGAGGGATTTCCATGGAAATGGCAGATGAAGATTGGGGGACGATCGGACCGTGTCTATTGGAGTTACAGCGACATCGTGTTTTTTGGCGAGGGATACGTTTCCATGGAAACAGCCTATGGTGAGATCTCAGATTTGGCGTAGAGCTGTTGAGGCATGGACCGGTGATATACAAGTGAAGTTTGGGGGACGATCGGACCGTGTCCATTGGAGTTACAGCGACATCGTGTTTTATGGCGATGGATGCTTTTCCATGGAAACGGCATATGATGACACCCCATAATTGACATTGAGCTGTTGAGGGCCAGACCATTAACCATCATCTGAAGTCTGGTGCTGTTTTGACCATTTTCATAGGAGTTACGACAACATCGTGTTTTTTGACAAGGGATGCGTTTCCATGGAAACGCAGAGGGTGAGATGTCAGATTTGGCGAAGAGCTGTTGAGGCATGGACCGGTGATATACAAGTGAACATTGGGGGACGATCGGACCGTGTCCATTGGAGTTACAGCGATATCGTGTTTTATGGCGAGGCATGCGTTGCCATGGTAACACCACATTATGTAACATCAGATTTGACGTAGAGCTGTTCAGGGCCACAGTGTTAACCATCATGTTATGTTTGGTGGCGTTCTGAGCATGTCGGTATCTCCAACACACAGGTGTTTATGTTTGAGGTAACAACGTTATGAAACACCTGTGCTTGAGCCCAGAGATCAAAGGTTTCCATGGTGATGTGCAGTAATCAGTGAGAGGAGAGCCTTTCCATTGTTCTGAATGAGAGATAAACCTCTTACATGTGAACGTTTTGTTGAAGAACCGTAACAGATATCGGTGAAATTTCAACGCGTGAAGCATGTCAAGGACCTTGAGTATCTGAAGTGTGCTTTTTGTGTACTTTCGGGTTAATAATGTGGCCTTTTTGGCAGATTAACTAAAGGTGTGCGGCTGCTGCTGTGAGGAAAGATCAGGCTGAATTTACAATGGGCCTTAATGGTTAGGGTTAGGTCAAGAGACATTTTATTTAATTATTTTGCTTAAACATTTATTTTCCAATCTAGGAGAGGTTTTCCTAAGTTTTTCATGAAAAATGATGTCTCAGGAGTATAGGGTTTGGGAATTATGGCAGGTTTAAAAAAAAATATGAAGACGAATTTCAAGCTGTCCCCCACTCTAGCTGTGACATCACGCACTCTAGCCTTAACGAGCTGCGCAATACACACTAATGTTCAAATCTGAAGAAGGCCTCTTTACCAAGGTCTGAACAATGTTTAATATCTCTACAAGTATCAATCTGATTTAAAAGTTGTGTAACACGAATAATGTCAGAAAGATTTTTCAAGTTTTTCCATTTACTTCCATGTTAAAAATGTGATGAATTATGGGATGTATCCCTGGAATTATGAAAGTTATGAATGAGAAAAGTAATAGCCATCGATTCCCGATCGAGCTGAACGTTTTGATGTTTGAACGGAGTTTCTGCGATGTGGGAGCAGAAGAGGCGCAAAATAACCCGAATAAGAATAAAGAATTTGTGCGTAGAAGAATGCTGCATCAGCATTCCCACTAAATGATTCAGATTTTATATGATTGAATTCTACTGGTTATTACAAAATAATACATTGGTAACTCAGTTGCATGAATGCTTGGTATGGAAAAACATCCTTCTCAGATCCTTTACTGAAGCTAAAGTCCTAATATACTCCATTACAAGTAAACATATTATGTTACTTATGTAAAAAGTAACTAGTAACTCCAAATGACAAATAAATGAGGTGGAGTCAAAAGTACAATATTTCCCTTTGAGATGTGGTGGAGAAAAAGTCTAAATGGGCAGAAATGGAAGTACTCAAGTAAAGTACAAGTACCTCAAATTGATACTTAGTACAGTACTTGTGTAAATGTACCTGGTTACATTCCACCACTGCATATGTTGGTGCACAGAAGGCTGGGTAAAAAAGGAGCTTTCTATAGGACAGATGTCATATTTTGCACATTATAATTCAAACAACATGAACAGTCATTTTAGGATATATTACACAAAAATAGATATGACCAAGTTTAACTTATTATATCTTCATTTGATCACATATATGTGTCATAGGCTGCAGGGCTCCATCATCAGAATCTGCTGCTGAGATTCCAAGAATCGATAAACTATGAAGAAAAGCAGACGGCCATCGCAGAGCAGCGGGACGCAGACGAGCGTCACTGAGGAGAAGAAGCCGTCTGGAAACAGAGGCCGACCTAAGAAGACCGTCCCTGTTACCACTGACAACCTTTACCATGACGACGCAGCAAAAGACAACATGGCTGACTTAGACTGCAGTGTGAACGCAGCTGTCGACACACAGAAACCTCCAGAGGGCAAGACCAGAGCCGCAGGTCAGTGTCCCGGGAGAATGGAGGGATGCTTTATTCATCCAAAGTTGGGAAATTGTTTTGTCACAACAGCATTGCTAAAAGTCATAACAAAATAATAGAATAAAATAAAAAAAGAATACATAAGAAATTGTATCTTAAGAATACACGATATAAAATATGCAATATACATTTGAATACTGCATAAAAGACCAATCTACTACAGAAACAGAAACATATAGATGTAATTGGGTTTGGTCACGTAGAAGTCACCAAAATAATATATTTAATAAAAATGCAATTAGGTGCTTTGCTTGTCAGAAAACATATTCTTGGATAGGTCTGCTGTCCATAAAATCTGTTGGTCGTCACAAAGTGGAAGTCGATTTTATTCTCCTGCTTATTGGATCAGATCTATGCTGATATGACTGTCTTCTAGGTTCTAAGCTATGTAAACATGTCTGACAAAAACAAAGCCCGGTTTGATTTGCAGTTTATTTAATGGTGTCCTCTGCATTTAGCTATAAGTGACTTAATTATATTCAAGGTCCCTACTTGGATATATTTCCTTTAGATAGGCTTGGGGAGTAATGGATTACATGCAAAAAGATCATGTAATTAGTATACAATCTATTCCATTACAGTAACATTTTTTATCGTAATCTTCTAAAATGGAGCATTTTCTGTCAACTCAGATTTTAATTCTGCTTTTTAAACTGCGGTATGTGCTCATGTGCTGTATAGGCTACTGCCTGAATATGCTGCATGAAAGGAAGAAAAAGAAAGTAATCAGGTTTCATTACATTTATATTGTGATAATTAGTTTGGCAACTGACTACATTTGTGTACAGGTTATTAGTAATTGTTTCAGAATACATTTTTAAAGTAACCCTCCAATCAAGCGTCCAGATTTTGCATCATGAGGGACAGTTTAATAAGAACCTCTGCTGTGTGTTCTCCATCAGGTCGCCTGTCCACCGCCCTCTGCCGGCTCTGCCACGGGAAGTTCTCTCTGCGCAGCCTGCGGCACGCCTTCAACAGGAGGCCCCGGGGGGCCGCGGATATTACTGACGATGAGCCGACGTCCCCCCTCTTATTCCACACAGACTTCCAGCGACTGGTGGGGGTCCAGTTGGATCGCGACCCCCGATTATCAGAGTTCATTTGCAAGAAATGCCACTCCAAGTTCTACAAGTGCCACAGCATCCTGGTCCGGTTCCTGCAGAGAGTCAACCTCCCACCGGTCGGGAAAGAGAACCTGAAGAGCTGGTGAGTCTGAGAAGAGGACGCTTCTAACAGACGCATTACCTTTCAGTGCGTTTGTTATTCTTACAGTTGTGACGACTTGTCTGCTTTCAGATCATGTGGTGATGTTGTGCGACTCATAACATTCGTCAAATTCATACCACACGTTAAACAAAGAAAACAGGACAACAGTCAAACAAATCAAAACAAAAGAGGCAAAACTCAAATAAAATAATAAACAACTAAGATCACCTTTCTGTCTTCTACGTTGTGTAATATAAATGAACGGTTTAAAACTGTATCTTGATGGCATCTTCACACACTCTGTGTCTCTTAAAAGGCTGGTGGGAAATGTAGTCTTTTCTAGTCTCTTGACTACAGAGGTCACAATTACATGACTATATTTCTGTATCATGTTTACAAAACAAAGGACTGGCTCTAACAAACAGTCTGGCCAAGTGTGACTATATTATAAGAATCTCTGTTGTTCGAACATAAACATCTACAAATATGAGCAACTGCCTGGTTTCTTTTTCAGGAAGAAGTGTCCAGAAGCCTCAGTAAACCATGTCCCGATAAGTAAGTAAAAGCATTTCTTCTTTGGTTGTTCTTACAGAAATGAGATAAAACGCAGGTGGACTGATCTCCTTTATCTGTTGCTGTTCCCCTTCAGCTCCTCACTCCTTCACCTCAGACCCTCAGTGCCTCCACAGCCTCGTGTCCTGGGCCCACCATCACGGGGGGGCCTGCCGCTCCTGTCCCGACCTGAAGGAGGTGCTGGAGGGCCGGGGCTGGGGCTCTTTTCAGGCCGCCTGGGGGTGTGTTGATGGTCACAGATACATCATGGACACTCAGTGCACCCCAGCTGCACAACCATTCTCTATGAACTCATGCAGTGGGAGGGACAATGGAGAGGGAGGGGTGTCTTGGGAGGAGGAACAGGAGGAGGAAGAGGAGGGGCGCAGCGGGAATGTGAGGACAGCATTGGGGAGTGTGAGCACTTTAGCTCAGCACAGTCCGGCTGCAGTCCTCTCTCAGAGCCCGGCGGACTGGACCGGCAACCCTGAAGGTGAGACTGCTCCAGCTGTTACTGGTGTGTCCAATAACAATAATCATTCCTGGATAGCTCAAGAGAAAGCCTGGAGCTTGAGATTATAAGTGGTTAATTGCAAGAAATCCTCAGTCTTCTGATACAATCTCTTCATATAGTCACAGATATTACACAACCCTTCATCATTCACTTATTGACTCTAAATCTGTTCTTTGGGTAGTATGTCTTCTAATTTATTTAGGTTTTGTAGTCATACTTTTTAGCTTGCTGCAGCAGGGTCATCATGTTCTGATGTCCCCACATTTGTGTATGTCTTAGAAATCCAGCAGTGGTTTCAAAGTAGACAACAGTGTACGTGCTGAAGTGAAGTCTGCATGAGAGGATAGACATGTTTACTAAAAAACACTCAATACAAGATATAAGAAATGCATTCATATCCTATACAATACAGTCCCCAGAGGAGTCAGAGAGGAGGGAGCAGGATGGGGTTGGTGATATTCTGAGGATGTTATCAATATGATGCTAATCACCCACACATGAGAAGATCACCTCCAGTTATGAGTGACATGTCCAGCCCTTTGGTTTATGACCAATGCAAATAGAATGAAATAAAACAGCCTTTTCCACAGCAGAAAGAATACATATTAATGCTGGGCATCAATCATTCTGTGTTTTTAATATTTCACTATTATAAGTAAAGATATCCCGCCCCTTAGCCTATCACATACAATGTGTTGGAGTGCTAGCCAATAGAATCAGTGTTACATGTTATGTTATGTAAGTAAACAAAGGAGCCGGTGAAAACAGACCCCAGTGATCCCCTCAGTACTCTCACATTTTTTGTAGCTGTACATTACTTGATTTATTTCCTGGGATGTTGAACTGTAATGTGTTTTATGTAGTGTTTACCCAGTCAGTTTCAAATCATTCTTTAGAGATACCATACCAATAATAACCTGCTTCCCATTGCCAATGACGATTGGATTACTGATTATCTCACATTTATGGGATGTAGATCGTGAATCCCATTCTTAAAACTACTTATTCATTGTTTTATGTATATCTTGGTTTATTCACGTAAATGAGTTGCAGGATATGAAAGGTTTGTGAAACTCTGGCGTAGTGACCGCAGATGTAATTTGTTACCATCTAATATGTAATATACCATCTCATCACTGAGCATTCTCTAAATGTCCCGCTGGTTTGTCCTGTTGTGTTTTCCTCTATCAGACTTCACAGGTCATGACGAGGCGTTGTCCCCTGCTGTGGCCCCGCTGGAGGACAGGGCCCCCGACAGTGATCTGTCTGACAGGTGAGTCCCTCTGGGTTCCTTTCCCAAACCTCAATATCTGCACTTCTCTGCCTCTTAAGTGATACGTTGCAATGATGGAAGGTGTTAACCTCTACTGTGTGTGTGTGTGTGTGTGTGTGTGTGTGTGTGTGTGTGTGTGTGTGTGTGTGTGTGTGTGTGTGTGTGTGTGTGTGTGTGTGTGTGTGTGTGTGTGTGTGTGTGTGTGTGCGTGTGCGTGTGCGTGTGCGTGTGCGTGTGCGTGTGCGTGTGCGTGTGCGTGTGCGCGTGCGCGTGAGAGAAGGGTGATCTCCGAGGATGACTTTGAAGAGAGTAGGAGAGGGCGGTTATCTGACGATGAGTTTGAACCAGACAAAAGGTGGGTGCAGATATTCTTCAGTTTCTTCTCAAACAGCAGAGACAAACTGCAGGTGACTTCAGACAGGAGCAGGTTACAGTGTTTAGTGAAGCTTTCCTCCCCCCCCCCAGGGTGAGCGTCCCCAACAAGAGAAGAAGGAGCCCGAAGGCCCAGGAGGAGCCCAAAGTTAGAAAAAAACCTGGACCCAAACCCGGCTGGAAGAACAAGTTGAAACCTAAAGCGTACGTACACGTCTATATTTCTTTATACACAACCTCCATTCAGCATCAGTTTATTTAATGTATCGTTTATGGGAAGTCGTACCAATGTACCATGGTGTTTCAGGGCCATTGTATGTTAGAGGCCATTCAATGCAAGAGGTTATATTACAAGAAAAAACCTTGAATATTCCTTAGAGATTGAAAAAAAAGAAATACATTTGTAAGAGAAAATGAAAATAACAGATACAACATGTAGATGTATCTTTATGGACCTTTGTCTCACTGCAGGTAACCCTAACCATTATGACACTGCTTTAGGCACAACTCAATTCAGACGGCAGCGTCTTGCAAATGATTGACTTCATAAACTTTGAGAATATGCACTTTTTAATGTACTACTTTAATTTCAGGGAATATTTAAAAAAAAAATGTATGAACCAACTCAATCAATCTTGGCAATTTCCCATTTAGATCTTGGAAATTCTGAATTGAAATCTATTCTGGTTTATGAATCATTATAATTTGTTTACCTATTTGGCCCTAATGCTTTGTCGTGAAGCTGTAGGTTTGTATCGTTTTGAAGAAGTCTTATTCCTGTTTCGTTACAGTTCATCTCAGTCAACTTTAACAAGGTTGTTCAGCATGCATCGATCACACTACCTTCGTGTTTTTATTTTCAGAGAGGAGCTGCCTAACATCTACAAGTGTCCGTATCAGGGCTGCACCGCCGTCTACAGAGCTCCTGATGGTTTGAAGGTCACATTTCAAAAACCATGACATCATTTCACTTGTTATTAAAGCAGTGGTTCTCAAACTTTTTCTGTCTGTCTTTGGAGACAAAAAAAGTCGGGCCCCCCCAACACAAATAGTCACGTAATGGGCCAAATTAACATTTATTAAAATACATCAATATGAACGTGAGCATTCCTCTAAATAAAATACAAAAATCACTTTGCTAGAACAGTGATAATAAAACAATGCTCCATAATTCTGTGTGCTCCAAAAAATAAATACATAATACAATTGTGCAATCCCTTTGCTATAGAACAATAAGTTATAATACTTTGCCACTTTGCAATCTGTGCAAACAAATGAAAAGAAAGAAAATGCTGATATTTGGCAAAGTGTGTCTTATCAGCATCAGTGGCTGCAATGAGCCTGTTTGGCACTGCACATTTCTTCAAAACGGGGTTGCAGGCTCAGTGACGGCGCCAGAGATTTCTTTTGGGGCTGCTGTGGGGAAGATCTTTTTTTAAATATTGAAGTTAAACTTTGAGAGCAACATGAAGAGATCTATGGAAACATCTCTCAACACCCATATGAAACAGAACTGTAAACAGATTTACTTTTTCTTTATGGATATTTTACAAATCACTCCCCTTTTAAACTGTATTCTTGTTTTACTGTCCTATAGTATTTCAAACCTGTTTTTCATTTATTCTCTTATTTTTTAATAACTATAATGATCATATAAACGTGTGCCTCGGAAATAATTGTTTACATTAATCGTGACCAAACCGTTTGAGACCCACTGAGATAACTTCGACTAAAGTGAACTATCTAAACACTCAGAGAGTCCTTCAGCTCACTGAGTCTCTCAGTCTGACAGGAGAGGACTCTCCTCCACCTTGTTGTTGAAAAAGCTCCTTATATCCGTTAGCGTAGCTCGCTAGCACCAGAAGCTAACAACAACGATCTCCGGTACCGGTGCGCTCTCTCTCTCTCTCTCTCGCTCGCGCACACAAAATGGCTCGTTCCACACACACACAGAGCCGAGCTTTAATGAAACACAGAGACCCAGACGTAATAGTACTGTACTGTATCATATTATTTTCGAGTCAATAATCTTTCAAATTATGATTTTTTTTTATCTTTTTTTTTTTAATAACCATTTTTCCTCCTGGTCTCTCGCGCCCCCCCTGTCATACCTCTGCGCCCTCCAGGGGGGGCGCGCCCCACACTTTGAGAAACACTGTATTAAAGGGATACACATTCAGTAATTGGATCAATAATGGTGTATATCACTCCAGAAATGCTTCAGGACTTAGTATTTCAGTCCTTTAGTTCTTCTCCATACTACTCCATATTCTGTATAAAGTTTCAATGTGCTTTGCTTTGACTGTTAATGGACTGAATTTCCTATTGGGGGGGTTTAGAAGCACATCAAGGAGCATCACGAGGAGATGAAGGAGCGGCCCTGCCCTCACCCCGGCTGCAACAAGGTGTTCATGATCGACCGCTACCTGCAGCGCCACGTCAAGCTCATCCACACCGGTGAGGGGATCACTGGGGTCTGTTTTCAACGGCTCCTTGGTTTACTTACATAACATGTAACACTGATTCTATTGGCTAGCACTCCAACACATTGTATGTGATAGGCTAAGGGGCGGGATATCTTTAAGGTGTTGACCAATCACAGCAGACTGGGCTCTGGTTTCAGACAGAGGGTAAAAAGAGGTGCTGCAGCACAGGCAGTATGAGGAAAATAAAGAGCTTTTTAAACATTAAAGCATGGAGACATGTCCCAGTAGAGACACTACATACTGATATGAACCTGAAATTGAGCAAAATATATCTTTTAAGTTGTTGGTGTTAACCTGTGTTTGGCTTGCACTGCCTACTTTGTGTTTCCAGAGGAGAGGAACTACATCTGTGACCAGTGCGGCCAGACCTTCAAACAGAGGAAACACCTCTCAGTTCACCAGATGAGACACTCCGGGGCCAAGCCACTGCAGTGAGTGCTCCTGATGTAGTATGCCACTTGTGTAGCTCATGAACAATTATTTAAAGTATTTTATACAAAAAGAAACATAATCGATTGGGGCAGTTCGGAATATAATATATGCGTCACATGTTGATGATACTTAACACCACTTTTTAAGGGTATATACAATCTTCAGAAGTATAAAGCTAACGTTGGGGTATAAAGGAACTACGGCACGGTCACATGACCTCACATCACCACTACTAAGCTAAATGCTGCTAATGTTTATCGTGATGACGTTAGCTGTTTTTCTGATATATAGAAGCTTATGACATTCATGAGTTGGGTATATACTGATGTATTTTATGTCGTAGAACAACATTTTTAGATCTTTTCAGACTGTGTTAACCACAGACCTTATTTCAGACCGCTAACCAAAAACACTTCAAATGCATACACATTTTGGGGCTTTAAGACTAATTCCTGGACCACTACTGACCCTGACTGCATTTGGTGAATCATTTAGAAATAATACATTTGAATGGTGAAAGGAGGCTTTACATGTTATTATGGTTTACATGTTTTCCCTTCAGATGTGAGGTGTGTGGTTTCCAGTGTCGCCAGCGAGCATCGCTTAAATACCACATGACCAAACACAAGGCGGAGGCGGACCTGGACTTTGCGTGCCTGATGTGCGGGAAGCGCTTCGAGAAGGCCCACAACCTGAACGTCCACATGTCCATGGTGCACCCGCTGATCCAGGCCAAGGTCCAGAGAGGGGGCAGCGAGCAGCCGCCCTACTCTGAGCTGCACGCACTGGCTCTGAGCGGGGAGGGGGGGCAGCAGGAGCAGGACAGATGACAGCAGGCGTGCCGCACCGGGACATAACCCCTCCCCACTGATGTTTATCTCTCTTCTCTTCCAATATACAAATGATCATCTAGGTTAAGAGCCAAGCTGTTGTCTGAAACATTAAGTTTCATTTTAGAAGATATAGGATATTTACTATATTATGGAAAGCTTTAGAGTGTGTAATTATCCTTTTCATTCCAAACTTAAGCTGTTATTCCATTGTCAGCTGTCTTCCGACCACATGTTTAGGATTTGTAGCTTTCTTTGGGGAATAAGCAGGCACTCCTGGTGCCTGTTACAGTTCTGATGACTGGAATATATGCATCTGTACACACAGTTTATCTGATAGCAGAAACACAAAGTCGCATATACACGACTGTTTGACCGACAGTCAAATAACTGTTTTATTTTGTCACTGTTTTAAATTAAGTTATTACAATGCTTGAATCTGTATTGAAAACAGTAAAAGGGCTTCAGGTGTTCATGTGTATAATACGTCCTTTGTGCATTTATTATGTATACAAACATTAATAAAAATGGTGATTTTTTTTTTACACATGAGCGTTAACTGGTCAAATCTGAACAGTGAAGTAAACATCCTACGAGAGGAACATGTTCCTGTAAAGGAGGGAGGAAGGGGGGGAGGAGGGGAGGGAGGGGAGGAGGGGAGGAGGGGAGGAGGGGGGGAGGGGAGGAGGGGAGGAGGGGAGGAGGGGGGGAGGGGAGGAGGGGGGGGAAGGGAGGGAGGGTTACTCTGCCTGACGTCAGCGAGCAGCTTCAGAGGAACTCCATCTCTGGGCTGTCGGGGTCCAGCTGCAGAGAGAGAGCTGCTGACACCTCGGGGTCCAACACCGACACCTGGGACTCCAGCTGCACCAGACAGGAAGGAGAGGGGGAGAGGGGGGGCAGGGACGTGTCTTTGTTAGAAAAGTTGGTGGTTTTTACTGCATTAAGCGCCCCCCGCAAATAATACATACATACAGTATATACAAATATACATATTCTAACAATATTTTTTTGACAACTAGAGCAGTAACTATGCTACGCTGCTTATTTCTGCTTTTTTAAACTGTAGTATGTGCTCATGTGTTTCAGTGTTGGAATATGCTGAATAAAAGGCAGCTTTTCCTATCAATAAAATCATTTATGATCCTAAATATCTTATTTTCGTATTTTCTAAGGTCACATTGTTCTGTTGTGCACATAATACACTTGAGTAAAATACATCTTATTGAGAGTTTTTCTCTCATTTATTTGCATTGCATTTGAAATTGAGGTAATCTAAAGGTAACAGAGTAATCAGGTTACATTCACTTAGAAACTAGATTTTCTTTTACAAGTAACCGGTAATTGTAACGGAATACTTGTTTTATAGTAACCCTCCCAACCCTGACAGAGTGTGTGTGTGTGTGTGTGTGTGTGTGTGTGTGTGTGTGTGTGTGTGTGTGTGTGTGTGTGTGTGTGTGTGTGTGTGTGTGTGTGTGTGTACCTCTCTGAGTTGGCTGGTGGACAGAGCTGTCGGGGGTGTCTGTGCGATGGCTCTCAGGAGAAGCTGCTTGCTGTGGCTCACAATCTGAAAAGGCTGACAGTGACATGCACACGTTGAACTTCAGAGCAGAGAAGTGACAGGTTTGACTGACAGGATGATACAAAGCATCATCTGAGAGTCACCTGATGGTCAGCGGGGGGGAGGGTGTGTCCTTCCAGGAAGAGCTGCAGCAGATGGATGTAGCAGAGGACAGCAGTGTGCAGGAAGTGAGGGCCACACACAGCTCTGTGCAGCAGCTCAGCAGTCTGCTGGAGCAGCAGGCTGAACACACACACACACACACACACACACACACACACACACACACACACACACACACACACACACACACACACACACACACACACACACACACACACACACACACACACACACACACACACACACACACACACACACACACACACACACACACACAATTAAACAATACACATTTTGTTAAGTTCATATAATGTGATTATTTAGGTAGAGAACAATTGCCATTCATTCCTCTTCAGGATTCAAACACTTTGTATACATTATACTCTTATATTTTTTATAAAACACAAAATGTATTTTCTCTATACTAAATTATAATTTTTGTCAGTATGGGATATGTCAATGATTAGCAACAACATTGACTTTAATGCATTGCGTGAAACACTGTAGCGATCCAAATGAGAGCATCAATCTGCTAGTGGGAACCAGGAACAGGACCTTTGAACCTCAAGGCAAACATGAGAAATGGCCTCAAATGGATGCTCATCTTCAGGTTCATAGGTTGGTAGTGTCTCTGCTGTGAACAAGCTCTGTATGTGTCTCATACTGCCTGTGCTGCAGCACCTCTGTCTGGGAAACTCCCTCTGGAGGGAACACAGGGATTTGAGCCTTTGCTGAATTAACATTAACATGCACAAAAACAGGAAAGGGAGAACCTCATCTGATAAAAGTAAGAAAACTACTAATTTAAAGCTGGGCTTATATCAAAAGCATGGTACATTAGAATGACTTGTCCAGTGCTTTCATGGGTTAAAGATTGTGGTTTCAATGTGGAGAAAAATCTTCCGGTGGTTCTGAGTGTCTGTACTAATAACTTAAACATTGTATAATGGAAAGTTTTTGGAAGAGTTGAACTTACAAAATGCAGTTATTAAAATCACACCTTTGCCAAAGCTTATTATGTATGTCATATGCATTACAAAATTGTAAAAATATTATGAGCCGTATGTGTCCCTAGTGAGGCCTTCTGAGGGAGCCCCAGGTTTGCATCCACAGTCACTCTCAAAACAAAAATAAACTTTAAAAACTGACCTGTAAAAGGCCCAAGGCATCAGTCGGGTAAACTCATCTGATGTTACCATGGTGATGGACTGGTAAACACCGTGATCTAAAGTTGGGAAAACAACATTTAGCCCACTTATTTAACAATGCATTAATTCACACAAGAAGACACAATCATTTAATGTCAGAGCAAACATTACATTTAATCTTTCAAATAATAAACACACGGCTAAACTGTCAATAACATTGTTTGCTCCCAGTGAGTGAAGAGCATGTGGAGTGTAGTGAGATGGACACTGTACCGTCTGATTGAAAGAGCAGCAGCCAGTCAGCAGAGTCCACTAACACACGCAGCAGCTCTGTGCAGAGGTCTGCTGCTTTCCGACTCCTCTTCTCCTGAAGGGATCATTAGAGACACAACATTACAGAGACTCCCTCCTGCTGTGGGAGCAGCACAAACAGGTGACCTCCATACTGGAGAACATGTCAGCTGATAGTCATCCAACTCTTGGCCAATAAGCCTATTTTCCCAAATGTCACTATTACTATTCCTTGAACAATAAACCATTGCTTGCCCGGACAGTCCTATTATCAGAGTCATTGGAGTGCAGCAGTAAAGTATGCTCCAATCACTTCATTTCTTTCTGGACTACGTGGTCTTTTTAGGAGTGGTTCTTTAGAGTTTATGTGTAATAATGATGAGGTTCCAGATCAAATATGAATTCATGAATGTTTCCTCTCAGATGTGGTGTGGGGCAGAGCATGTTGCTTGTTAGGGTTTATCAACCTGAGCTCTCTAAGTGCATATCAATCCAGCAGCGTTCCTAAGTCTGACCCCCTACACTGAGTCAGCAGGTGGACACAGGGTCAGGGACAGTGCAGGATCAAGAGCCGGATTCAGGATTCATTACCTCAGGGTACAGGAGTGATGACAGATGATCCTTTACACACAGGAAGAGCAGGAAAACTAGAACCTGGACAAATACATTAAACAGCAGCAGGTCAATATACAAAATGTTGGTGTTTTAATGAAAACAAATACTCCAACATACCGGCTGGGGTCCACTTAGGGCCGATAAAATGACACTGTTATGATGAAGTTCTTTCCTCTCACCTGTTGGCACGGCGGGCCCCCCTCTTCTCGCAGGACACGTAGGGCAGCACTGAGGCCCTGGTCGGCCCCCCCACGGCCCTGCCAGGCCCCGTGCAGGCTGGCAGCCAGCAGCAGAGCAGCAGGACCCGGAGGGGAGGGCCCCTTCTCTAAACTGAACACCACATAGAATACAAAGGCATCTTAACACAAGCCAAGTTTACCACCGAAAATAAAACTAATCATGGGGAGAGGGGCTCCTGGGCAACTATTTTATTAAAATATATGTTTATTATTAATATTATATATCTTTCGTATTCCTTTTGTGTATTAAGATATTTCTTATTCTGTCTGTTTATTATTACCTCCAAGGAGCTTGTGTTTGCGGCTCAGATGGACTTTCTGGATTGCCTCTTTGTATTTTTCTATATTTATTTTCATGAACTCGGAAGAAGGGTAAAGCATGGGCCAAAACCAAAAAAACATTTAGGAGTGGACATATATCAAACTCACACAAGTTATGTTTCACTTTTGCAAGGGCAATTGTGCTGCATTTAAGTGGTTTTGAAATAATTGGAAACATTTGTATTATGTATGTAATATTCATAACAGCAGCTCTGAAACAAAACTATTTTTTTTAACTGCATTCAAGCCATAGGATTTGGCTTTCTAGGTATAAGGGACTTCAACAGAGCTAAATGAAGCCAAGGCGAATCTGACAAACTGTTACACCCTCTAACTGACGGTGTGGTGTGGTGGATCAGAGGTCCAGAGGAGGAGCTCCATGAGGACGAGGCTTACCTGCAGGCCCAGCTCTGACACACAGTGAGGAGCTGCAGCTGCTCCGGGAGAGGGTCTCCATCAGTGAGACCCCGCCACAGGGAGGAGAGTGCGGGAGAGAGACGCTGCCACCAGTGCTACACACACACACACACACACACACACACACACACACACACACACACACACACACACACACACACACACACACACACACACACACACACACACACACACACACACACACACACACACACACACACACACACACACACACACACACACACACACACACACACACACACACACACACACACACACACACACACACACACACACAGTTAGGAAGTCTGCAGAAGTACTAATTTCTTCAATGTCCTACTCATATAATATAATAATGATGTCATGCTTTTGTCCAAGTAAAGCAGTGGGGATGATGGTAAGAACTAAATGCAAGGCCTTTCATTTTCACCTGTTACATTTGTCTTAACCAGCTATTTTATTCAGAAATAGACATTTCAAAATCCAATTATTTCTGAATTTAAATCCAATCCAAAAAATTAATTTCTTTAATCGACCTCATTAAAGGGAAAGTTAATCATTAATACAGACATGTTTTTGTGACCATGTCAAGGTGTTTTAGGTTGGATTTTTCCTTTAGAAACTGGTTCACTTAGGAACATAATTTTGACTTGTAAAACTAGAAAAAAATGCACAATAAATACCATAACACTGGAACATTAGCAGCTGTATTGAATTTAGCCATATTTCAATTTAATCACATACTTTTTCTAGTGTTAAAACTCTAAATGTCTTCCTTGCAAAATGCCTTCAAGACCAGCATATAAGGACTCACACCTCATAAGCTTACTGGTTA